CATTGAATTGAATATTCGAATATAAAAAATTTTCACCAAATAATTCATTGAATGTTCAATGAATAGTCATGCTTAATCTTATACGTATATTGTTAGCAATGCTAATAATCATGAGCACAAAGAGATGAACAAGTTAGATCTTTATTAGTTAGAAGTTTTCTCTATCAATTTATTTAATGTAGCTTTTAGGTATAAACATCATTTGTTAGCTTGTGTATTTAAACTCAATCATTCAACTTCATATATTGCCTTAATTCATTATAGTTCCGAATCAACAACTCTATTTCATGATCATCAATATTCAATGAATATTCAGTGAATATTTATTCATTTGAAATTTGCTGATGAATATTCGGATATTAAAAAGATTGAACGAATAATTATTCGGAGACCTCTAATTTTAGAATTGCTGGTTTTCCCTTAGCGACCCGCATGAAACCATTATTTATGTTCTAAAGAAATGTTTCTCATAAAATTTCGCCATCTTTATTTAAAGCAAAATGATACTCTATCCTTCTATAAACTGCGAAAATCACGTGGAAAGTTAACCATTATCCAACATCATCTAACTCAGTGATGGTAAATGACCTGAAAAGAACATAATGATCAAAAAGACAAATAACTAGTCTTAGATCATTTCAAGACCTGAAGTTTATTTAACATCGATAAACGGTTACACAAAGTATTAACAATAAATTATGCGAAAACTGCGAACGAAATATTCAATAAAAGAGCTTTTTTAGTCCCCATATGAGATAAATAGAAGTAACGATCATGTTGAGCTGTAAAAGAAAGCACTATCATTATCTGTTGAAGCGTTCGGGTATTTTCGGGTAGTGAACGATCGGTTGAATAATGGGTAAGGATCAATTCGAAGCAAATTTTCAGGAAATCAGCCGTTTTAACTTACTTTCAGCCTATAATTAAACATGAAGATATTACAATATTCTATATACTTGACTATTAATCAATTAAGTTTATATAACAACATACTTTTGTATACAAAGTTTAAACAATGTGATTCTTCCTTATTTTGGACCAAATCGACTCAATGCAAATTAGTGATATTGGCATATATAAAAGTAAAAACCTTACTATTTTAATCAATATTTATGCCTTAAATTGTTCAGAATAAAAAATTGAATATTTCATGCAATTATAATAACGGTTTATTAAAATTTTTTTCATGTGAATGTAAAACGCGAAAGTGAATAATATAAAATTGTTAAAATTACACGAATATTTAAAATATATGCAATTTTGTTATCACTTACACCGTCTAGTAATTGCAGGCAAATTTGCAGGAACGCATATGCCCAATAATCTTAGTAAAATATCACGGGGTTGACCCCAATTTACTAAAAGTCCAATGTAGATCAAGTTCTGACGATTATCTCCGATATTTAAACTATGTTGAGCATCTTGAAATGTCATGTGGTTTCTGAAGGCCCCAAAAAGTAAGCAAAGAATTCAAAGAGCACAAATCTATGCACTACCGAAAATGACATTGGTCGAATGGGAGATCAGTTTGCTTATGACACTATATACCTTTAAATTGCAATTACATATGATCTGCCCAGAAAAGTGCATTTTCCAAAAAAATTGCAGGCAAATTTGCCTGCAAGACGGTGTAAGAGATAATGAACAATTTTACGGCATAAATATTGTCACGGATTATCGTGAAATTGGATCATCGTGAAATTTATATTTATTTTATATACGATTTTTAAAATTTTTTGGGGCCTTTTTTGTAAGCTTTTTTTTTATAGTTAAGTTAGGGTTTAGGGTTAGAATTATTAATAAAAGAGTATAGGTGGATTTTGGTAGGGCTTATATTTTCAAATCAAGACCCCAAATTTCACGATGATCTGATTTCACGATAATCCGTGACAAATATTAATTAAAATAGTAAGTATTACTTTAATATATAACTAATTATTTATATTAATTATTGACCAATAAAATTATTTTATAAACAAATGACATAAATGACCTTAATGACCTGGCCATTATTTGGATCATTTAAATTTTGATCAAATAACCAGATCATTTACTATCAAGTGATATAACCGATTTGAGCAAGCCGTGAACCAACTGAGCCTTTTAACGGCTGCATATTACTAATAAAGTATCGCCTATAAAAATGGCTCTGTTCTGGTCAGCAGATCCGAAGAATTGGCTTGGTTTTGTCAACATTAGTTGTGAGCCGAATTGACCATGGAATGTCCAGTGTAGTGCATCCGCGGATCCGACTGTTTTTTAATTCTATCAAATCAATGTAAGCTTATCGATCATCATTACGGATATTGTCACCACGATTCGAATCAGGTAATAACGCCATAGTCGGATATCCATCGGATCATCCAGTAACAATAGTTTGTCTTGTATTCATAACGATAAATGGATCTTCAATTATTACAGTATGGTTGATATAATATTACGTCACTGTACGATTGTGTATATCGTTACCTCCACAGTAATATAACACAATGGTTAAGTGTTTGGAGTGTTAGATACCAAATGATTTACTATTTAAAATGTTGTAACTAAAGATGGGGAAATGCGCATGATATCGCATGATATAATTTTATTGACTTTATATTTTTCCTCCGGATACACAGGTCGAAAGATGAAAAATCAGGCACAAATCAGGTACCTGATTTGTGCCTGATTTTTTATCTTTCGACCTGTGATATTTGACAAAGTTTTTTCCCCGACCCTTCTCATCTTTATGTTCATTCGTTTCTTTCGGAATTTTTCAAAACTCCTACATTCCTATTTCTTAATTTTGCCTGTCATTATACACCTTGGCCTAAATTAAATATACTTTAATTTTCCTATATAAAATTTTAGATGGGATAAAATGTTGGGGTATGCGATATTATATAATTAACAAATCTATGTAGATCATATATAAATCGTAATATAGATTTTTTTTTTATAACCTATGATTTTTCCGAAATTTATATAGTAAAATACTTTTTTAAAATTGCTACTTCTCTTTCATTTTTAACGATAAATATATAATTTTTGCTTAAACTAATAGAGGATAGGTTATAGTTTTATGCCTTGGAAAGCTTTTTGGATTTTTAAAAAGCCAATCGTGCAAAAAACCCTTTTAAAAATTTCTAATATAAATATTTTTTTGCTCTATTACAATTTTTAAAAAATTTATATTAAACAAAAATTTTCTCACCATATTAGTATTTTGTACATTGTCTTCAATAAAAATATATTAATTTTTTTATAAATGATTAAGTCCTTCTAGAGCTTTAGCGATTTAAAGTTTTAATAAATTATTTAGTCACGTGTATCACGTGAGGTTATATATATGAGTGCCGCCAAGCTTCATTACATAAAATTTTATATTATTGATATCTGAAATTTTTATTATTTAAACTTGAAGCTAATTATATGTAAGTGCCACCAAAGTCATCGAGCTTCAATTATATTTTGCATTAGATTGATACTAAATATAATTGAAAGCCTGATGATAGGTATTCTATTGACGGCACTCATATATAGTAATCAAATTAACGTTGACATAACTTATTAATTAAACTTAGAAAAGATTAAATTGCGCGACTTAATTTATTGAATCAGAGGTTAACTTTATGAAAAATTAAATAGAGATATTGTAATACAGGTACCACTCAAAAACAAGTGAGGTGTATATTTTTATTTTAATCATCAAAATTAAAGTTAGCTGCATAACGAATATAGCATATACTAAAGCCTGAAATATATAAATTTAAAACTCATAATGTATGCATTCGTCCATTATTTTAAAACACATATGCACAAAGTGCACATATTGTTAATAATTAAGGTATAAAGGTTTTTTAATATGGTGCCACCTCTCCGCACATTAAGCTTAGATACTATTTTAAATCCTTCGATGCTTCATTTGATATCTATTAAAGCAACTCCCCAAATTTCAGGCTGATAATTGATATTGTAGCAGCAGTATATAATTATTTCGCTATGATAGAGCCGATATGAACTAAATTATGACAAGCAAGCATAATTACCATACGCTATGATAGTATATCAATTATCAACACAACTTTGTGGGCCACTCTATGTAATGGAGAAATGCAGTATACAGTACACTATATAAGGAGAATAATGTTAGGAATATAAAAAAAACTTTGAAGGCGTTTTGTTGAAGATTAGATCGATCGAACCATCATGTGTTCACGTGACTCAGTAATGTTCGATTCGGATCGTAATAATTAATTAATGACGTTACGAAAGTCCGTCAAAGTAAAACAATAATGCATAAAATATGTCGTAATGGGTTATTAGTAAATAAGACGTGATTAGTAATTAATTAAAAGTCAAAAATTATATGATCAAGATATGATGTAATTGAGTAAAGCGAATAGGTATAAAAGTAAAAGAAGAATCAATAAGTGTTTTTGTCATAAATACCCAATCGATTGCATTAATAAAAATTTACCCTATATAACCCTTTTGTGGCCCTGTTTTTTTTACCTTTTGAGGTAGACATTAGTAGCAGAGGCCACTATTAACCCCTCAACACTAGTGAACTTACATTCGTCTACTTATAAATTCTAATAAAAAAAAGGAGATACTAATTCATGCCAAATAATGATACCTAAATTATGATCAATTCCTCATAACAATAGATTCTCAAAACTACCTTTGTTATCAAGTTAATAATCTTGTCAGAGAGGCGAATGAAGTTTTAATTTAGTTACAAGACCGCCTAAAAAACAATTGAAAATATTTTTAGAACCATCCTTATTATGCTTTGTTAATTTCTTTTGTTAATTAATAATTAGAGCAATTGTTAAATTGAAACCTGTAGTTTTATATAATAAATAAAATAGCTTTTATCTTTTCTTTAATTAGACTTACCTTTTATATCAATAAATCCTTGTTTAAAGAAAGTTATTGTTTATTAAACGGTGATTGTTTAATATTATAAAAATGTAGAGTATAAAAATACCTATTTTTTATTTTAAATTATCAAAATGCCTCGTTTAACTAAAGTTCAAAGTGTAAAAATGCGAGTCTTGCAAAAATATCCAAGTTCAATAAACTATCAACTGCAGTTGCAGTTAAAAATAAACCCATTTCACAACACGTTTCTACTTTGCAATCAATCCCGATTGAAAGTATTTCATTTAATCTATTAGAAATTGATAATTCAGTTAATCAACAATGCATTTCAACTTCTCAATTAACAGCTTCACAAATTGAACGAATAAGAAAGGATTTAATAACAAAAGTTAATTACTTATCTGAAAAAGAGCTAATAGCTAGTTCCCAGTTATTTAATAATATAGTGTATAAAACTGGAATATATAAAGGAAAGATTTTATCATCATACTTACAAAAAAAAGCCGTAGAATTAATGTATACAATTAAAGGAAAATCTAGTTTCAATTTTCAAGAAACAATTAAATCACTAAAAATTGAAAACTCGAAGTTAAAAAAAAAAATACAAAGACTAAATTATAAGGTAGCATCTTTAACACAGAAACTTCAATACTTTAAACGATCTAAAAATAAGCACATATCCAAAATTAGGTCCGTAGTTCGAAAAAGACAAAAAATTTCCGATAAAAATGTTAACAAAGCAATTATCAAAAAATTTAAACAAAATGACCGTACCTATACGCCTGAATTTGTTTCATTAGCTACGAATTTAAGTACTACTGGTCAAGTATCAATTGCATCAACAGTACAATATACAAAAAAAATAGTAGCATTTCTTACTGGTTATTCTCCTCAATTATGGTTATCCGCAAGCACTTTATCTCGATGGACAAAAGAAGTAGCACAAATTTCTATACAGGATAATTTACCTCAATTTTCTAGCCGATTTAGTTCATATGGTATTCTAGCAGATGAAGTACAAGAGGAGAAAAAAAAAAATTTTTAGTATGCATTTCTTATTGGAATGAAAAAAAACAAGAACCTATGCTTACTATTCTTAATATGAAAGACTTAGATCAGTGTTCTGCATTAACAGTATCTTCAAGTGTTGGAGAAGCTATTATAAAAAACTCATTAAATCCAGCTCAATGTCAATATTGGCTTACAGATAACATGGCTTATATGTCTGGATCTATAGGTGGTGCTGTAGTTAAATTTAACAAACAATACTCAACTGAAGCTTTTCGAATTCCTTGTGGGCTACATGCATTACATATAGCTTCAGTACATTTTAATAATACAACTTTTGGAAAAACCAAATCACTATCTGGAATTTGCTTAAAACCACTATCTAATGTTCTCAACTTAGCTTATTATCTTCATTGTGAATACAATGAATCCGACAAAGACAATCCACTAAACATGAAAACAGAAATAATTAATGAATTATATAAATCATTAATGAATTATAATTTTAAAAAATATCAAAAACCTATTTCTAGCCATTGGTTATATCAATTAACCATAGCTAAACAATATTTAAATCAAAGAGATATTCACCTTCAATTTTCTGATTGATTTATAAATCAATTAAAAATCACAAATAATGTTCCTAATAGTTATTTAGAAAAGTGGCAAATATTTTATAACTTTTTGCAAAATGAAAAGTTAAATATAGAAATTCAAATTATGACCCGTTTTGGTGAATGGTTTTATGAAAAAGTTATGTTTTTTTTAATTGGAAAAAATATAAACTTCACAAACCTTCCAAACGGATTCAGAGCAAGTGAAATGCCAGATAATGTAGAACAGTGAATTAATGAATTACAAACAGCCATTGAACATCCAGATGAAGTTTTTGTAGAAGAATTTTTATTGGCTTATGAAATTTTACCTGAAGATGAATTTGTTGACCTTACTAATAGAGTTGAAAATGGATTAGTAAAAGCATTAGAGGCATTTAAAAAATAGATGGACCTATGGACACATTTACTACTTTCTATATGTCGACTTGGAGGAATTCATGGCCCTGATTTTGCAGTTGCAGTTATTAAAGTTATATTAAATATTCAATTTTCAGATAACCTTACAAAAATACAAAAAAAATATATAGACAAATTAGTAAATAATTTGAAGGCAAAAAACAAGAATCTTTTGGATTATTTCAGGTATTAGAAAATAATGATTTTCAAGAACAATTTTTGGCCTTTTTACAATCTACTTATACTGAAATATCTAATTACCCTTTATTATATGATTTTATAAAGTATAGAATTTGGTTCATAATATGATCTTAAAACTCATCTTAATATGTCTATAGAATTACAAGAGTTAAGAATGCAACTTTCGGGACCTAAACCTTTTGAAACACTCACTTTAGAAAAACTATCAAATATTCGTTTAGAAAATAAACAAAAAAGAGCTATAATTGAGGATGAACCTATTGATAGGGAACAAACTGCAATTAAAAAACTTAGAAGAATTTTAAAACTTCCAAACTAAAAATATCGATTACATACTTTAAAATAAGATCCTTCTTAATTCTACGCTCCATTATTAAACCTTCTTAACCAATATATTTTTATATAGCAAATAATAAATATTATTTGATTCAATATTCACAATAAACATTTATTATATTATTCTTTGATCCAAATATATACTCTGAAAAAATAACAAGTACTAAAAATCAAGTAAGTCTTTGTTTTATAAAATACATATATCGGGATTGAAACCACAAAATATATACTCATGTTGCTGGCAATGGGTTTACTACAAAATCTCGAAAACCATTTTCTCGAAAGAATATAATACTGACTAAATTGGCTAGCATTATAACTAATGCTGGCTAACTTTGTCGATATTGGGTCCTTTCAGGAATCTGTCTTTCAGAATTTTGTAGTAAAACCGCTAGCAATATGCAAATAAGTGTATTTTTGACAATTATAGTCAATACTCTCTATAATGAACTGTTGGTTTCAAATGTAAAAAAAAAACATTTGCTATATGATTTAACTGAAATAATATAACTTTGGTTTATTACAGTATATCCAAAGTTCATTATAGAGGGTTCATTATAAGGAATTTCATTATAGAGGGGTTCGTTATAAGGAAAGTTGACTGTATAAATTGTACTTTCACACGTACACACAGATATCAATATAACTGCAGAACTGTATAACGATAAATAATGAAAAAAGAAGTTTGTAAAACAACTATAAAAAAATCTGATCATATTAATTTTATCATATGGTATAACTTATATTTGTTGATCATTTAATATCACATACCCCAATAAAATGTGTATGATTCCGAATTATACACATAAATGCACATTAATGCACACAATTGAGGAATCATACGCGCGTATGAAACCCATCTCTAGTTGTAACTTAAAGCAAATTTAATTCTGTAACTTGTGAATGTTATAAAAATATTGTAGGTTTAAAATTATGTTTCTATATTTAATAATCTTAGTAGGTCTTTATAACTTAATCGTTTAAATAATACTATTAAAATATTCTAACTCCTGCTATAGTAGAGCAAATTTAACTCTGTAACTTGTAAATGGCGTATAAATAGTGTGTTTTTAAAACTTTAGATGCTAGTGAAATTAATTTCACCAATTTCACCAATTCATCATCAATTACACCAATAGTGGTGAAATTATTTCACCACATTTCACCATATTTCACCAGCATCTATATTTAAAACTATGTTGCTATATTTAATATTAATATGTAAATTTTAGCAGTTCTCTATAATTTAATCATTAAAATAATCATTAATTCATTAATTTGTAATTTGTTAACTTGATAAAATGAAATAAAAAATATCTGAACTAGTTTTAAAGCATTCTATTTATATATCATTTCCAAATTACAGAATTGAATTTGCTCTGCTAAAGCGAGAGTTAGAACATTTTAAAAACATACGGTTTTTATTATATAAAACTGACAAAATTTTAAAAATCTGCCAATCATATAGTGCTGCACTGATAGTAAATCATTTGGTATCTAATACCCCATTAAGAGTTATATAAAGGCTGAGCGGGTTTCATTGCAAAGGAGCTCTGACTTCCTCAGATTAATATTTGATTTTCTCGCACTTTGGTATTCATTGCTTAGTGTCTATAAAAAAGATCTGATTTTATCCGACATTTTTAATAGATATGAAAATTTATTAATATGGAAGTTCACTATCGGCAACATCTCTTACATGTGCTTGTCGCATCTTTATATGATAAGTTTAAAAAACATCTACTGGCTACAAGTACATGTAAAAGATGAATAATTTTCTATACTATATATTGGCTGTTAAAGTTTTGGCTTTATAAATTATTACTTTCATACCAATTAAAAATATCGAAATATTAATTATAATCTTACTTGAATTTTCATTTTTTTAAACTAAATAGATTTTTTTAAATAAATAAATAAATAAAATAAAAGATAATATTAAGGAATACAAACTAATTACTTGATTTCATAATATAAAATTTCAAAACAGACCCGGCTGGCTTTTTTAAAAAATTTTATATAAAAACTAGCTGTAACCCATGCAATGCACAAGAAGAATTTAATATAAAATCAAAATTGGTGCATATTGAACCTAAAGTTGGTGCACTTTGAACCCAAATTTGTCCATTTTAAACCCAAAGGTGGTTCACTTTAAACCCAAAGTTGGTTCACTCTGAATCCAAAGTTGGTCCACTCTAAACCTGAAGGAGGATTCACTCTGAACCGGTTGTATATCAGAATTCTGATACACAAAATCCCAACATACAAAATCCCAACACACAAAATCCCAACACACAAAATCCCAACACACAAAATCCCGATAAACAAAATTCTGACAAATTAAAATTCTAAAGATATTAAAATTAGAATTTTAATTTGTTGAGATTTTGTATATTGGGATTTTGTTGCCGAGATTTTGTGTATCAGAATTTTGTGTGTCGGGATTCTAATATACAACCCTCTGAACCTGAAGTGAGTTCACTTTGAACCTGAAGCAGGTCTACTTTGAATTCACTTTGAACCCAAAGTGAATCTGATCATAGTTTCTTTAAGTTTATACAAGAATTTATTAAGTAAAGATATCTTGGAATTTAAGTAAAGTTGTAAAGAAAGTAGTTTGAGTTAAATAGTGGTTAGATCATCAGAATTGGCCTAGTAGTTCTTGAGATATGTAGAATTAAAGATGTAAACATACTGTAATAGACAAATTTACTATTACACAAAAATTGATACTTTGTGTAATAGTGACTTTGCTGATCTTTGTTTGTGCTATTTAGACTAGGGTGTTAATTGGTCCTTTGAGATCAAATCTTAGCTAGTCCTTCAAGGATTAGTAGGGATTCAATCCTTAAATCACATAAGAAGTGTATAGAAATTAGATCCTGGATCGATTTTGGATTTAGTCTCTTTAAAAATCTTAGAATTCACTTTTGTTAAATGTTAGAACAGCCCTCTGCCTTTGGCATTAATTGTTTCTAGTACAAAATATATTTTTTTATAAGGCATAACTTTTGAAACTTTATATCCCCCAGTTTGAGTGTTTGGCAATATAAAGTATAATTTTAAACCAACTTTTTAGAAATAAAATGATGATTAAGAAGTTAACTATCTTTGGATTTAAATAAAATATAGACAATAAGTAAGTAAACTTATTTATTTAGTGTTAAGGTAATCTCTTTGATCTGGAAAATGTTTTATTAAAGTATAAACAATATCTTATATTGTAATTACAATAATGGAGCATCAAGCTATATATACACTTTTGATACCTAATTTAAGTAGTCTGCTCAAAGCATTAGTGCTATGCTAAGGGTATTACACTATTATTGCAGAATACCCTTCAAGTTTTTTGTTTGTGCTATTCAACTTATATATATAAAGATCTAAAAATTGAATTAACAAACAAGTTCATAAGCTTGAAATATAAATGCTTATTTATCGTTTATAATATCTTTCAAGTCATTTATTTGCATTATTTATTTCATTTAACTTGTAAATAAGGTTTTTTAGATAGTGGAATTGAATTAAAAAAACAAGCTCATAATAAATATTTACTTAATATTAAATAATACTTTTTTTTTTTTTTTGGCAAAGGTGACTCTAATTGTCAGCGAGATTTTATTAGACAAGTATTAAACACTATACATTATAACGAAGGTACATCAAGCCACATGTGCACCTTTTGAGTGCCTATTTAAGTAGTCCGCCCGAAGGTTCTACACTATCTGCTGTACCTGCACCCCAACTAGCCCTCTAATCCAATAGGTTTCCTCACTATTCATATGCTAAATTTTGGTATTACCCAATGTGGATTTCGCACCCTACCTTAGAACACTTAACTATCCTCGAGGTAAACCTAATACAGCGGTACATGTCCCACACATGTATTCACATGCCTGTTTCTATAACTTCTTCCTAATTAGTACATATTGACCTGCCATTCCGTATTCGTATCTCACACCATCTTTTGGAGTACTGCCATTCTATGGACGTTTCTCAAGTACCAACTTTCCTAACTAGACGCCCATTACATACTCCTTGCCCTTGTTTTGGTTCCTAGCAACTCCAGTACCCCACATTTAGACCGTCTTCTTACCCGGTTCTTTACCAGTCTCTCCCTTACTTCCAGCCGGCAACCCGGAAGAGTTGGTCTGCCCAGGCTTTAGGTGCCTGAAAGACGCCCCTCTTGGTCCATACTTTCAGAGCGTATGTCCTTTTCCTCCGGTGCAACAACTCGGTGGTTCGGCTGGTATGTCCTCCACCATTAGGACCTGGTCGCTCGGTTCTCTGATCTCAGGTTCGAATTCAGCCATCCTGTGATACCATCGTAAATTACTACTACCTCCAAACTCGGGACTTGCCAAATGAGTTTTCAGTTATTCTGGTTCCTTGGATTTATTGCACCAAAGCTCCTATAACTAGATGGTATGACCGAGATTACAGATTTCTAGA